ATTTTTATTTTGAAAAAAAAAAAAAAATGTAAAAAAATTAAAATTTCAAAAAATAATTCAAAATTATAAAAAAAAAAAAAAAAAAAAAAAAAAGGCAGCCAGCTCATTACTTGCTACGGGGTTTAAAACAAACATTTGATAGTCCTGCTGTAGCAAGCAGCATTCTGAAACAAAGCTGTTTGTAGTTAAGCACCCTCACAATGCAGCCCAAAATTGCCCAAAGGCTTCGGCAGAAAGCAGCAAAGTCTTTGGTGGATCCACAAGCTGGAGAGGTGATGAGGTCTTAGCAAAAGCTGCACAGCAACTCAAGATATGGAATTATGGCCTGGGAGGATCAAACCTGCGAATGAGATGATACGCTCGTCCCGGCCTATATCCCTCTATCTCTGCAACACACGGAGGAAAGACGGAAAGAAACAAGCCAAGCTTTCTCCTTCCCAACGCTCCTGGAAGCACAAACACCTTTTTGAGATGCTGGTAAATGTTTTGTGTGTTCTCCAACGGATTTGTTGATGGAAAGGTGCTGGTTTTGTTTTGCGATGAACTGCCAGTAACTTGTAAGCTTTTGCATGAAACCTTTGCAGTTTCCTCCAGTAGGTGTGATCAGCATGAAATGATATCTGTTTCAACACATTTCGTAGCGCCGTCAAACGAGGATTAAAATGCCAGTGCAACTCCCCAATGCAGAGCACACTCCCCTTGGTCTGCTGCTCCAGTAAAAACAGGTACCATTTTCGATAATTACAGACGCAGGTTCAGTGTTGTGCCATTTGTAATTTTGGTACTCCATAGTGGCACATGCAGTGCCTAGTAGAAGTATTCATGTTTTTAACACGTTGTGGCGTGCGTTCGCATTCAGTTCCCCTGAGTCATTACTCTGTAGAGCCACCTTTCACTGCAATTACACCTGCAAGTCTTTCGGGGGTTGTCTAGACTGAAATTGTGTTTGCAAATAGCTCAAATAGCGCAGAGCATCTGTTCACATCAGTTTTCAAGGTTTTATCTCAAGTGGCTATAGGCCTGGACTTTGAGTAGGCCATTCTAAAACACTAATATGCCCTGATCTAAACCATACCAGTCTAGTTGTGGATGGATTTCTGCAGCTCCCCTAGAGTTACCATGGTTTTCTTAGCTGTTCCTCTGCTTGGTGCTCTCCTTCCCCAGCTTTTTGCCTTTGATGGACTTATTTTGCAACTGTGCCAAATTCTTTTAACTTTCAGATTACAGATTAAACAGTGTCCAACTGAAATCTTTGGATATGTTTTTAACAAATATCTGAGGCTTTCGCAGAACAGTAGAATTTAGGAGCATACAGAGCCACACACTATTTCCATTTTTTTTTAACTTCTGAAAACAGTTGGTGGCACATTTAATTGTAAAAAAAACATGTTTTTTGAAAGTGAATTCACTTAAACCACCATTACACTGAATCATATTTGCTTAGCACTTAAAATCTGCATAAAATCCATTAAAGTTTTTGGTTCTAAAGAGAAAAATTTAGAAAAGCTCACAAGAAAATGAAGGCACTGTGAAAAACATGTAATTCGACAGAACTACATTGGTCTCAGAGCTTACAGAACACAATTTTTGTAGTTTTTTGCAGTTTTTGTATTTCAATTAAAGGTGTAAAGTTATGGAACAAATTAGATGACGACTTAAAACTAAGCAACAGCTTAATACAATTTAAAAGAAAATATAAAGAGGTCATTTTTAATAGAGATAAACATATGAGTAAGAGAAAGTAATAATGTGTGCATTGAGGAGAACAACTTGGGGTAAGGGTTTGAAAAGACAAACCAGTATAAAAAGAGATAATGAATAGCTATATATTAGTAATTGCTGACATCTACTCTGACTTTTAATTGATTGATGATTTCTTTTTTTTTTTTCTTTAAAAAAAAAAACAGTAGTATTGTAAGTTTTCAAGTGTTTAGGGGGTAGGAGTTAATAAGTTTTTACTTCTTCCTACCCATTTTGAGCATGATATGTTAACTGAAACAGATATCTGTATTTTTTTTCTCTCTTTTCTTCTTTTCTATTCATTTTTCTTATTGTGTACTATATTACTTTTTATATTTGTATCATGTTCGAAATATATTTCAAATTTCAAATTTCAAATTATCCCAGGATCTCACAGGTGTAGTAACATGTTATCCTCAGTTTCATTATATGTGCTTGTCATTGGAAGAATAAAGCTAAAATCTCTCATATTCTACTGTCATCAACTTTAAAAAGACCCATTATCAATGTCTGCTGTTCAATTGATGCTGTGTCTGTTTTTAAATACCAAAGAGTGACCCAATGCAATACAGACGGTTGATAATTTCAAGTGACATTTAAAGCTAAAAGGATTGAGCTCATTTTCTGTAATTCATGAACATCACATTACTATTCAGGACTGAAATATATCCAAATGTCAGTTGCTGAGATATTGAATCTCATAGACAAAATCCAAGAAAAGCCGACTAAAAAAAGGGTGGCGTTGACCGACGCTATTTTGCTGAAAAGCCAATGACATTAAAATCAAATGAGTAAAAGCTTATATTGATCGAATAAAATGTACAACTCAAAAACAAGTATTGCTTGTTACTCAAATATCATACGACCGGGACAACAAACTACTAGGAATCCAATCCTGACAAAGGGCCCAGGGTGTGGGTAGATCCGTCACAATCAGACCCAAATGCCACGGCTGACAAAGTTTTTTTTTTCCAGGTACTTTGGGAAATCAATGTGATGAAAAGGTTCATTTCCCCCAAACCCTAGATAGCTCTGCTACTGTTCATTCTGCTTAGGCAGAAACATAAATCTGCACCCTGCCCTTGTGTTTGCTCCAGCCTTGTAGCATGGCAGCTAAATGACATGGCAGGAGTGCATCTTTGGTGATGGAGGCCTTCCCAAGGTTGTCTCAGATCAGTTGAACTTATTGCCCCGGTTTGCATGTAATGTTTTATTTATTTTTCCCCAACAGAACTTAGCCCTACCTTCCACAGTACCTTGTAAACCATTAGTGCCCGTAGGATTGTTTTTCTTTTTTGCATTTTGTTACAGGATAAACTTTAATTTTTAAACAAAACAAGGAAGAATTAAATCATGCTTTCCAAATTAAGTTATTCCAGTGTGAAAAGTGTGGGGCTTATTTATATGAAGTCATTTTGACTCTTTTAGCCCCAAGTAAAATTCCGCACAACAAACTGCAACCTATTTAGGTAAAAGTCCACCTATTTGTACTTTAACTTCATTGTTAAGACAGCTGTTCAATGACGAACACAAGAGAGGACAAAGCAAACATGTGAGCAAAAGTCTGTTCAGAGAGACTAAATGAAACTTTTTTTGCCTACATAAAATCACTGTTTTTATTTTATTGTTTTCAATTAAACCATTAAAGATATAACTTTTCCGATTTTAGTATGTCAAGAAAAAAAGTATTCTAGAATATCAAAAATAATTAAATACAGCAGGAATGGCATGTATTTTGAGATTTCAAAGTGGGGTCTGCTGGAGACAGAGAATCAAGAATATCAAAAATGAAACAAGGTTCATTTTATTTTTATCACACAAATGTAAAAAAAAAAACAAAAACAAAAAAACATTTCTAGCATCTTAAATATGAGCGATTTTCTAAGAGCCTAGTCAGAAAAGGTACATTTTAAGTCCATCTATTAGTCTTGGAGCCAAACAAAGAGTTGTCAGGTTCAGTCAAAATATTTTACATCCGTGTTCCCATGTCACCATTTTTACATGGCCCATTACCACTTTGAGCTAGTCTCGAAATGTGAAAGCACTAGCTGTCCTTCAGCAAGAACACAGAATCCTGGCAAGCACCCCCTGCCTGCTTTCCATCCATGGGCTCCGCTCTTTGCAATTAGAGGGTGTTTGCTGCTGGCTGTGCTCGCTTGGTGGCTGTGTGGGTGATTTTGGACAAGTTCCAAGTATATAGTGGTGCAGGCAGGGGGCTCTTCTGCACCACACATGTGGCTACAATTAACAGAAGGAAAGAGCCTTGTTCCAGAGGGCCATTGTCACTGCCTGCTCGCTCAGAAATCCCACAGAGCAGATGCTACTCAAATTAGACTAATTTTCACTGCTTGAAGCGGTTACACCAAAGAAGGAGGAAATCTTTTTATGGCTATACATACACCTGATTCAGAGAGAAGGCAAGGAGACTGAAAATATTTTTGTGTTTCTCAGATCCTTAACATATAAGCTTAATTGTACAATTTGAGGCCAATTTTTAATATTTATTTCAGCAATCCAGTTAAAAGGGGGCACAATCATTACATAGACTGATATTTTCCCAAGTGTTTTTTTTTTCTGATAATTTTGATGATTACACCTTACTGCTAGTGAAAACCCAACATTTTCAGAAAATTCTCGTGTTGCATAAATTACAAAATAATAGTCTGTTAATACATAAATGTTATGTATGGATATGTTATGGATATGTAAAGGTCTGTATTATAGTGGGGAACATGGCTGCCTTTAGAGATGCCCAGCAGGAAGTAACATAAACCCTCAGTAAAGATGGTAAGCCACAAAACTTCATCGCAAAACAAGCTGGTGGTATCCTAGTATTACTGGAAAGTTAATTGAAAGGAAAAAGTGTGGAAGAAAATTATTTTCGAGCAAGACAGCCTTGGAAGAAAAGCCTATTTAAATTGTGGGGGAGTTTACAAGTCAAGGTCTGGGATACAGGCTTGTTATGCCACTTCTGAACCAGATAAGTCATAAGTATCTTGTCAAGCATAAGAAGAAGAAAAAGACTGGACTTTTGCTTGATGGCCATCTTTCAAATGAAAGCAATTTTTTTCATTTCTGAAATGACTCAAATCATTTAACTTTTGTATGTTATTTAACTTTATTGTGTTTACAACTGAGTCACAAGTAAAAAGAGACACACAACAAGAAGTTGGCTTTTCTCCAAGGAACCCTGAAATTATTCAGAATCCTTAGTTATTTTTAAAAAGTTATTATACATATTATATGAAAATGAATTGTCAGAAAAGATCCGGTGTTTTGTTGTTCTTCACATTAGCAGTCAGCGCAGAGTGCACGGTGCCATAATAGAAAATTCACATTTCAGTGAAGCTAGAAGTGAAATACTATACTTAAAAGCCCATTAGTCCTTTAAGGAAGACATTAGCCCTGGCCATGAGGCCCTTTTTCAGCATCTGTGTTCCTTGTAAAAACATTAACTGAAAAGTAAACACCACTTTAAGGAACAAACTCATGGCTTCCTACCAGTGAAAAATCTTTCAAAGACTTAAAATCAACAAGGAATGTTGTGTATTCACCAGATTTGCGATTTAAATGTGCTTTTACTGGTGCTCATGCCTGTAATTGCATCCTTGGTAATTATCCTTCATTCTCTCAGGCTAATGAATGTTTTAATGCTCACATTAGAGCATTCATTTAGCACATAACAGCATTTTGATTACAACAAGCCAATTAAGATCAATTTTGCTTTGTGACCTTTATGATTCATTCTGAGTTCCCCAATTAAATGTCATGAATGATGAACCATGAACTAAAAAAAGATGGGACTGAAATAGAGAAATGGACAATGTAATAAAGAACGTTGATGTAACTTTGGGGCTGGACATAAATCTCCAATATGCATATAATGTTTAAATAGTTAGACATCTCCACATTGCAACACACGGTGTTGATGAAATTAACTATCTCCATTCCACTTGAATCCCACAAAAAGTTTTTAATGATTGTATTATTCATATTCACCATATCTGATCAAAGATTCTGTATGCCTTCTGAATAGTCATTACCATTCTCTATAGCCTCACAAGAATTTTATCCTTTCCCCGCAGAAGCCAGAGTGAAATAAATCATAATGAAGACAGCAGAGGACAGTTCTGTTCTCATTTGTACTGCTCAGTAATAATAACTCACAACAGTGGTGACTTAAAGGAGGGATAATTCAACAAAATCATATGGTCTGAATTACTTTTTTTATTATTATTTATTAAAGCAACCCACCAAAGCAGAGGTTCCTAGCGGTGACCACTAATTGGTCTAATGTATGAGGGAAGCAATGGCCCAACTATTACGGTAATTTATCTCTGTTTTCTCAAGTCTGTACGGGAACCAGCTCTTTGCCATGGTGTGATCTGGAACCTCTGAGGTGGTCACATTCAACCTAGAATTGGAAATACATAATGGATGAGACTGAGCAGCCCAAGGAGAAAGCTGGCATGATATAAGACGAGGAATATCTTGACCGTTACATTAATATGCAGAGAAATTCTAAGCCACGATCTCATGTGGCATCTCGGCTCAGTTAATACTCTTTCAAACATGATAAAAATGACAGAAAGGTAAGCTGATTCTGGGATACCAAAATGATCCTTCTTTAGTGCAATCAGCTTTAATGGCCACTTGCTTAATTCTGGTATTCCTTACATTTCTAAGAAGTTTGTTTTGATTGGAAATGATGCAGGTACCATTGCAAGACAGTGTACAAAGGGTAACATTTCATTTCTCTTTTACAAAACAGACTTCTTATTCAGTCTTTAGACATATTTTCTTTTTTCTTTTTTAATCAACTGTGCATTGAACTGGGACCTCCAAGACAGTCACGATGATCAGCAGAGAGCTCCACTGCACCTAATGCGTAATCCAAGGTCTGTTTTTAAATACTGCTTAAAGAGTGAGGTATACTGTAGTGAATGTAGCACCAATAAAAAAAAAGAGTTCTCAATACATTTGTGCACTTTGAAGGGGTTGGATGAATGTAGCAGTGCATTTGTATTACATCTCTATGCCTGCTGTTCTGGCATGTCACATAATTGAGGAGCAGCCAAACACAGAATTTACAATTGGCAGACGTACGTTAGAATGGAAAACCTCAAAAAAACATCAAAACAATCTAAACAGAAATTGATTGACAGTCATCCTTGTCACCACTAGTTTCAGCCTCTGGCACAACTGCTTGCAGCTGAAACTCCTTTTCCAGAGGAGTTGTATTCTTCAAGTAAAAATTTATCTGACCTGATAAAAATATCAATTCAAACTGAAATCTGTTGAAAGCCACTCATTCAGCATTGTAGGTTAAAGGGAACCTACCATCCTTCCGACCAAACAAGTTGGTATGAGTCTATAGTCAATATAAAATACACGCATTACGTTTTTTGCACAAAAATCATTCTCAGATAGTGAGATTTCACACAATCAGTTCTGATCATTTTGAACTCCTTTCAGAATAAGCTGTTTTAGGGGTCTGTCACTTTAACGGAAATAAGCTGTTGTTGGCCACGCCCCCAAACTCAATGTTTACACTTGCACTTTATGCACGTGAAAATGATTGTAAAACCAATTGCACAACAATTGCAATTGGTTGTGCAATTGCACAACCATACATCTTTGATTTCGAGACAGACCCAGAAGCAGAAGAAGGGAATATGTGTCAACAACAAAACACTTGTGATGGCCAGAAAAAAAAAAAAAAAAAGCCTGTGTGGGTTTTGTTTTTTAGTGCTTGGACTGCTTCTAGAATCAGCCGAGACCCAAATGGAAGTACAAAAAATTTGCAAAAAGTAAAATTTGCATAATAGGTCCCCTTTAAAGTCAACAAATCAGCCTCACTTTTAAGCTACTTATGGGATTTGGTGACCAAGAAGTTCACTAAGCAGGTTGTTATTTTTAAGAAAAATGTATTATCTTTAAAAATATAAATTTCTTTAATAGATAATCTTTTTGCTTATTTGATGAAGAGGAGTTGTAATTCTGACCATTTATTCTATTGGTCAAGTTGTAGAAGCTGTTGTAAAAGCTACTTTTTGTGCTTGCAAAAATAGCCAACTAGTTCAAAATTGAACAAATTATAGACAAGTCAAAGATCAAATTTTATCTTATGTTATCATATGACTAGATATAATGAAAACTAGTCCCAAGGAAATTTGAAAGAGCATGTTAAAACTCCTCACTCTCACCTTTTCTTAACGTGAAAAACACATCACGGCAGTTGTCCTTATCTTTCATACTAAGCTAGAGGGAATAAGATCAAGTAGATAAAAAAAAAAAAATAAATAAATCCCAATCATTTCATTAGCATATAGAACCACACATCAAAAGTGTTAAAAAGCCTTTGGTGTTGAATCTTTCTCAAGTGACAGAAGGGGACTGTTATAGTCACTCAAAACAACTGTACAACATGGACAGATAAACTACCCACTGGAAGGACTGGAAGCAACAGGAAAAAGTGATATGTATCTAGCAGATACAGATAGTTTAAAATATTAAAACTGAGAGTAGGGTAATGCATCATCGCCGCCATAATCTAATCTACTCAGTGACAGCAATCCTTGACCAGGTTTTTATCACAGAAAGTGAACAGGGCTGCCTTAAACTCAACAGTTTCATGTTGAAATGAAAGTCAGCATGAGGTTAAATGCAGCATTCTTCACTGGCTCGACAAGAGGCCAAAACAAGTAAGAGGATAGTTGCAGCTCTATGCCAGGCAATTAACTGGTGATTTGGCACAGCAGAAGTATCTTTCCAGGTGTCCCACTTTGTTCTACATATGAATCTTGTGTCATTCAACGCCTCCCTTTTCTCCTGATCGCCTCCCAGGCATCGCATTTGTTGTGCCAATAAAGCTTTTTATTTGGCTGTGGGAGATGGAGAGGAAATGTTCCCGCACTTAGCTCTGTCAGCTTCTACTCTTATTAACAGCATTCATTTTGTCATCGTCGTTGCTTAGCGAAAGGAGTTTGCCCTCTAATATAAATTGTTAAACAAGATGAGCAAAGTGGCGTCATTCATTTTGTTCTTCAAGCTCAAACAAGGATTATGAGTTTTTTCTAAGAGGAATTATGAAACATCCCTCATCTAGTTTTGATTATCTCATGGTGCCTGGTGGAAAAAGTGGGTAAAATTGTCTGGTAATGTGCTAAACTGGTTCAGATCTTCCTCTCTACACTGGGGCAACTTTGTGTGTTTTGACAAGTGAACAAAGATCACACTCGAGGGTCTCTGAAGGTTGCATTCTTGGGCGACTTTTATTCAATATATGCTTGTCTTATCTCAAATCAAATACTACTCGCACATCTCTTACCCTTTGTGTGCTTAGGATGCATCAGTGAGTGGACGGAGCACAAACGCCTCCAGGAAAGACACATATTTTGCTCCTAAAAATGCATGGTTAGATTTCAGCTCTCAACCAAACTCAAAGAGGCTAAAAACCACACTGCATGAAAGAAAGCCATGTGTAGTTGAGGACTGAGGCTTGAATTTTAACAACCACAAAAAGTCTATAATAGAATAAGCCTCTTCTCATAAAACAGACGTTGCAAAAATAAAGGCTTCCCCTTAAAAATAGAGCACAAAGGGTGCAGCGTGTTGTAAAAGTAGAGCGAGCCCCCGTACAGAGGCTAGAGTTCTCTACACACTCATCCTGGGTTCCATTCCTGACCCTGAGACCTTTGCTGAATGTCTTCCCTATTTTCTCTCGTCTCCTTTTTTTTTATGTTCATACAGCTTTGTCTTCTCAAACCCCCAGTCAGTTGTGACCGCTTGTACTGAGCCAGGATCTGCTGGACGTTTCATCCCGTTAAAGGGGAGCTTCTCTTCTCCACAGTCCGCTACATGCATGCTTGGCCTGAAAGATTGCTGTAAAGTCAATGACACGACGCAAGCACATTTCCTGTAAAGCACTCTGAATTATCTCGTGGGTAAGATGAACTTGCCTCAATCTATAACATAGAATAATATGTTTAGGAGAGGAATAGGTTTTGTTCTTTGATTTCTACTTCAAGTCCACATCCTCAGGGCACACCCACACTAGTCACACAAGAGGATCTGTTTAAGATTCAGTTAAGTTTCATTTAATTGTATTTGGAAGCAATTTCATCTAATAAAACACCTTAGACCTCATTACTAAATCCAATCAGTTGTGAGGGAGGAAAGTATTTCTTCAAACCAGACGGACTCTCATTCTCCTGGTTTGCTGTGGCATCTTCCTTTCCCCATCAATTGTTATTCAAAGGGAAAGTTCATCTTCAATCACTGAACCAATGATATTGTATTAGCAGCAACAGCAGAAATGAAATGGGTAATATGCTGTGAGAAACACTGATAGATGAGCACCCCGACCCTTACAAGACCAGTCCTCTGTTACGCTCCCTTTCACCCCAATTCTAATTTATCAAATTCAGACTTTTGTCACCTTTAAATTGGATTTGGCTGGCGAGAGCGCGTTACGTTTCATCCAAGCTGAGGCCATGTTTCACGAGGTTGCAACACTCCACTTCCAGATCAGAGCGATATCAAAACAACAATACAAATTTAGGGCAGCATAGACACTAATTAAGACCAATCATCTCAACATCCACAGGCACTACAATGTTGTAAACAGCACAGTGAGTGCTGCATGATTACAAAAGTGCAATACAAAAACAGTCTATTCCTGCTCAGTCTGCCCCCTGGGACATCAACAAGATGAAAAAAAAAGCAAAAAAAAAAAAAAAAAAAAAACATGAAAAGTTTCTTCGGCATTAGGAGTAATGAATGCATTTCCCTTTTATCGTGTCTGTTGTGTATTCAGTCAAACTGTGCTCGCAGACATATTCGAACATTCAGAGTTTTAAAAAAGTAATTTGAAAAGATGCTGATGCAATTTAATCTGCTCCAGACGTATTTATCACAGCTTAACATTTCATCTTCCCTCACCCCCCCCACTTCCTCATGTTTGGAAATATCACTCACCTTTCTTGTCCCCAAAGAACAGAGTTTGTTGTGCAGGGTTTGACCACTGGAGGGAAGTGTTATCATTGTAATCCACACGACAGGTCATGTTGGCTGTGCCCCCCTCCACCACCGTCACATTCTGAGTGATGGGGAACTGACCCTGGCTACCTGTGGGATTTGTAAAACACAGCGTGAGAAAATTGCTATAACAAGAGCCAGTTACATATTGCATGTTAACATATTTTTTTAATTATATCTTTTCACTAAAAACTAAAATCAAACTTTTCTTTACACCCCAACATAACAACTCCGAGTTACAATATTCTCCCTCAAAATATCACACAAAGCTTTAAACTGCCATCGCGGCTAAAGGACTGATGTTAGTTTTTCTCGTGACAATAGTAAATGTTAGTCACCCAGACTGCCTTCTGTGTTGCCTTATTGCAAGTACCTAATTGGTAGCATGGCCTAATTAGAGGTAGTCATGTTCTGCTGCAGAGTGTGGATCTGTAGCTGGGTGGTAAATTGACACATAATCCCAGACACTGTGGGCCTTCGATCCAAGCGACTGCCGTGCCCCAGAACAGCCGCTTGTTGCAGTGTGCCCAATACATCCAAATGAGACCTAATCACCCAGCCTTGCTGGATTTTACCTTCTTATTCCACATTTGTACTTGTCGTCTCAGAAAAGTCCCCCTAATTACATTGCAGGAGTATTTTTATCCTGTGTGCATTTTATTAAACTCTTCCTAGCTACAGAATCACGTCTTAAACTAATACTCTTTAGAAGAAGGTGATTTTTTTTTTTTTTTTTGAAACCCAAATCCTCCCTTTTAAGCATGTCAGGAAGCAACAGTTGCATTAGAGCTCTTGAATTTGTGTCGAGGTTGTTTAGGACTGACAAGCTAAGGAGATTTACATGTTCCTCTGGATTTTGTAGATCTGCTCTGCTCTCTGTGGGTACACCTACGTCCCTGGATTTGAAGGTGACATTGTCTGTGCTACAGTTCACCGCAGGGACTTTCAGCTTGGGGAGCAGCTGTCTGCCTCATTAGTCCCACTCACACATGGGTGCAGAGGACGATGGGAGAGCCAAAGATCTGTAGACCTTCCTTGACCTAGATTGTACTGATGAAGCCAATCGTCTGCTGGAGGTGAGGGGAAGCTTGACCATGAACGGTGAATGAAAATAAATCCATCAGACCTGTTAACTCTCTTTATGTTCTTATTTGTTTTGGCATCAAGTATTTAAGGGACTTAGATACTTAAATAGACTTAAATAGATTTCTTAGGAATCTCTTTTTTTATTATTTATTCCTCCAATATAAATCAAGTTATTAAACATTATGAAGTGGAAGGAGGATCACACAAAGTTTGCCATTTTTAACATAAAAATCTAAAAAGAGTGGCATGCATTTGTATTCAGCTCTCTTCACGTTGGTACTCTGAAGTGAAATCCATTTAGTGAATAGATTTTACTTGTGTGTATTTTATAACAAGTCTCAGCAAGAACATTTATGAACAAACACATTAGACGGATCAGGGATAACAGCGTGGAGAACTTAAAAAAACAACAACAAAAAAAAAAACAACTCATACTTTCAAGATCTCCTAGAGTTCTGCCCAAGTCTTTATTCATAAATGAAAAACATGGGATAATTTGAAAGGTTACAAGACATAAAATCAGAGCATTTATACGATCTGTACGATGATGACACATATCTTTGTATTTTACCATCATTTAACCATCTGGAGGATCTTTAAAGTCTCTATATGAAACAAGTATTGAGAGGACAATACTAGTAACACACTCAACCAATCTGACCATATGGAAAAGTGGTAAGCAGAATGTCAAAAGAATTTTTACTACGCAGATCACACCCTGAACACACCATCTACACCATGAAGTATTGTGTTAGCAGCAATACGAAGCTTCAGCAGAGACAAGGAAGATAGTTGGAGTTTGTGGGAGGAAGGGTAAACGAAATACAGGTTTATCCCAGAGGAAGTTCTGTGATTCACTGGGGCAGAACTTTACCTTCCACAGAGCAACAGACTTACATTTTCACCCAGTTACCACGGAATAGAATGGCTACATCAAAGTCTAAAAATATTCACCCTCTTGGATATTTTACTGTTTTTATTGCGTTCACAAATCAATCATGGTCAACAAAATTAGCCTTTTTCGACTATTTTTTTTCATTTTTTTCTTTTACAAAGAATCCCGTTAATATCAATGTGAGAACTGATTTTTAAAAAATAACAATTAAATAAAAAATATTTAACATCATATAAGGAATTGCATATTTACCCCGCTGCCCTCACAAGCCTATGTGAAAATATAGACATTTTCATACTATTGGCTTCCAAAGCCATTTTCCAAACTGCTCCAATCTTTTCAAAGATTCATCATCACCTCCACTGCCTACATACAGACAGGTGACAAATTAAAGAGGAAAGAAACAGAATCACGCAGAGCTTCTTTGCTATAGCATGGTTTGGGTTCATTTGTGCTCCCAGGTAGGGTCAGGACAAATCAATACAGTTTTTTTCTTTGTGATCACCTTTACTCTGTGATGAAACATTTCTGTCCTGATGGGAGTGGTCTCTTCCAGGATGAGAATGCCCCTATCCATAGGGTCACTGAATGAATTGATGAGTGTGAAAAAGGTGAATCATATATTTTTGGTCTATGCTGCCTCAAGAACTCAACTAGGTTGTACACATGTGGCAGAATTCAGCTTGAAGTGTCAGAATTTGATTACATGCGTCTCCTCCGAAATGACAAAAATGGCCCACGAGGGAGTATCGTCCTGCTTCGACTGCATAGGTCTAACTACTTGAAATGTGGAACTTACAGAGAAACTTTACGGAAATAATTTGTCTGTACATAAAAACTGTTAAATACACAAAAATGCAACAAAAAAAAAGAAAAAAAAACTTAAGTATGCATTATTGCATTCAAAACGATGCTATAAGTTCATGAAAAAAATGGTCGCATTATCATTCCCCCCCTCATATAATTTCCCCCCTATCAGTACTGAAATGTGTTGATTGCTACATTATGTCTATGGTTGGAGTCTTTTTCATGGCTGTAAATATCTGAAAATAAAGTAAAAAAAAAGAAAAGACATGAGATACAAGCATAACTTTGTAGCAAAAAAAGAAACCAAATTATGCCACAGCTCTATGCAAGAATTGAATATTTAAGCTAACAGTTTACACTTCATTTTTATACTAATGTTTTCAGAAGAGAGAAAAATGTGTTTATCTTATGATTTTCATTTCTAAACTAAATAGCTCCACATGCCTAAACTTCTTGGAGACATTGAGAACCTGTTACAGCTGGATGATTGACAGGAAACATGGACCTAAAAAGAGAGCTGTCAGCCAAAATGGTAGAAAGGAAGAAAAAAAAAAAAAAACTCCTTTTAGATTGTTTGTACTTTTATAGAGGAAGTGCAACAAAAATGGACAGATTGTAAAAGGGAAGCATTTAAATAGATCAAACAGGATATCAAAGCATCAGGATGGAAAACTCAAAGCAAAACGCATCAAAAAGAAAAAGCACAATGACCGAAAAGAAAGATAAACGGAGTCAATAAGCGTATTAAGGAAAGCGAGACTACAGTAGTGGATGAGTGGATGAATGTGAGACTCAGGAAAAAAAAAAAAAAATCAGGAATCTGATTTGTTAAAGCAGATTATGCTTAAATATTTATTTGGTGCCGTCACAATGGAATACATATAGATGACTACCTAAAAAAAAGTTCCTACAGTTACTGGTTATATGGGAATCTCTATTAATTAAAAGAGAAATTCCCATTCCGTCTCCTTTTAATTTCTACTACTTAAAAGAGACGAGCCAATGGTAGTCAGCACCTCTACACTGGTTGCAATTAAAAGTAGCTTTGGCTATGAAGTCATTTTTAAAAATGAGCATGGACCCAGCCACTACACGAGCATAAAAAACGTTTTCCAGGAAAGGAAGATCCAGAAAACATCCAGATCTTAGATTTAATGAAAACTTTTGCTGAAATTAAGTTTAAAAATATCATGACAAGGCTAAAAATGATACAAACTGTGATGTATTGCTTCATCTAAAAAAAGTGCTGATATTTGCCATCCATTATCTTCCACTTAATCTGAGGTCGGATCGCAGAGCCAGCAGCCTGAGCACAGAGACCCAGACTTTCTCTCCCCAGTCAGTTGGGCCAGCTGCTCCCTGGGAATCCCAAGGCGTTCCCAGTCCAGCTGAGAAACAAACTTCTGACCCCATCTCTAAAGGAAAAGGGCTAGTAATTGCAATAACATCAATTGTTTGTTTTTTTCCAAGCTGCAATTCAAAAACTATGAAGTAAAATAGTTCAGTGTCGTATTTAAAATGGTTTCTGTTGAACATCCAATAAAGTAGTAATTGCATTTTTTAAAATGTATTTTCTACAGAAAAAATATTGCTAGTTTTCTGTGATGCAATTTGCAATGCATCACAAAAATGAAATGATTACAATATTTCCTGAACAAATGAAATTCATGAAGTACTTTGCTTTTATTATCTGCAATAAAAGCAAAGTAAAAAAAAGCACAAGAGAATTTTGAAAACAAGACGGCCATAAATGAGTAAATACTTCAAATATGCATAGGAATTGATCAGAAGTATAAAAATAACAATCCCGCTGTATTAAACATGTGTTTCCCCAATGATCCAAAAAGATAAAATGATAAAATCAAACTTGAGCTTGATCTCATGGAATCTGTAATTTTTATAATTTAATTATATATATATATATATATATATATATGATTCGATTAAAGTAGAAAAAGGCTACTCCAGTAAAAGCTGAACCTGGCAATATCACCATGAGCTAAGAGATTATAGTCCACACTCAGGTGGGCCACCGGCACACTGATCATCAGTCACAATGTCAGCACACATGAGATTAGTCAAGCTGTTTGCTGTGCTTCACACATTTAGAATGCTGCTGACACATCTCTATGGTGACATTAACTTTCATACGGAATCAGGTGACACTTTCCAATGAATCAAATATTTACTGCACTGCTAAAATACGTCAAAATGTAAATCAGGTGAGGAGATTGCATCTTGGCTGTAAACAAAATATTTAATGATTAGATTTTAAAGAGGAACCATAGGAACAGATGTCAGC